ATTCCATCACCGGTCAGTCCATTAGATAAACCTTCATCTCTGAGCTCTTACAGGGGATGGTCAGAGAGAGATGTGAAAAGAAAACATGCGTTAATATGCATGACTTGACCACAGAATATCTAAGGCCAACCCGGCTTCATTCTTTTCTGTTAGAGATCACGCAATACATTTGGTAATCCCCAATTTGGTGGCACGTTTCAGACACCTCTTTTGTGGGTTCAGTCACGCTGAGTCAAAGATTTCATCACTTGAACTATACTACTTCTTCTTGGACTCAGAAAGATGAATAGAAGCTGCTGGGGGAGGGGGAAATCAGTAATGATTAATTTAGACTACATTTAACGAATAAAATCAAAGTAATAACAGTTGAAACATTGATATGTATTGCTCACATAAGAAATTTCCAAAGACACTTAGTCTAGGGCAGGTTTGTTGGTTCCTGGCCCATCAGGCACCCAGGTTTCTTCTCCTTCTGATCTATCATCCAACAACATGACACCTGTACTTGAGATTTACTTCATAATTTAAAAAGGCCACTGGAGCTCCAAGCATCAATTTGGCATTTCAAATAACAAGCAGGAGGAAGAATGGAAGAATAAAAATGCTCATCTTCCATGTAAGTCAATTCCTTTTAAGTGCTTTTCCTAATTTTACTTGTGAGTATTTAGTCACACAGCCTCTAGCAGCAGTCTCTGGGTTAGTGCAAACCCAGAGTCTCCAGCACAGGAAGCAATCCCACATCCCTTCAAGCCCTGCTTTTCTAGTTCTCTGATAATCTTCTCCCCCACCAGTAATATCAACATCCCCAGTTCACTAAGAAATTGCTATTAAGACCATCGGGTTAAAGGAGAGAAACAAAAGCTGGGGAGAATATTGATCTCTAAGAGGAGTTTAAGATATAACTCAACTTCCTCCTCCTCATCCCAACATTCTTCTTCCCTTCTTCTCCACGAATTTGTCAATATCAACAGAAAAGAGAATTTATTGGGCCACAGTACTAACATTGGGTCTCTCATTTGACGAAGATAAAGATGAATCTTTCACACCTGATGAGTATATATTTTCTCTATGCTCTCTCTCATAGAGTTAGTCTACTAACTAGAATAATCTAGGCCGTTCTGCCAATCAACAGCCAATTTGCTTTAAGATTCACACTGCCTCTCCCCTGCTTTGCTATATATCGCTGGAACTACATTCCACAGCTCCCCTTCCCTCTGGATTCTTGATGGGAGAAGTCAATGGGAAGCCTTGACACGTAGGTAACTAAAGGAAGAGAAGGAAGAATGGTAGCTATCCTATCATCTTTGTTCTCTGTTGCATCTCTTTCTAGTTTCCACCAGATAGTCCTTCCCTCTGTTGTTACAGTTTCCATAAGGCAGGTCTCCCTGTGGTTCTAGGTATCATTGTATGGCCTTGGCTTCTGGGTAAATACCATCTTCTCCTATTGTCTCTCTATTCCAAGGGTAGCATCTTCTTGTTCTAGCTAATCTTGGGATTGCCTTACTGTCTCTGGTTTGCTTTGTCTACTCTTACATCATCTGTGCACCCAATTTCTTGCAGTAAATGTACTTAATTTGGACAATCTGAACTGCTTTCTGGCAAGTTCTTCACTAATAAAATTATGCTGCAAAAATCAACAAGTCCCCAAATCTCAGTAGCTTAATGTATACAATCTTGTTTCTCACTCACATAGCGCTGATGCAGAGTATCCACCTTCCAAATGCTGATTCAAGGGTCCAGGTGACTTGTATTTTTAAGTATAGTATTTGGAGCATTTGGCTTCTACATTACTGCAGCAAGGGAAGATAATGAATAGAGAAGTCAAATTTACTCTTGTTTGCTTGATCCATAAGTAATATATGTTAAGTCTGCTTCAGGCCATTGGCCAAGACTAGTCATATGGCTCAACATGATTACAAGAGATGCTTTAAAATGTACCTCCTCTTGGATATTTCTATACGTGTATGTACATATGTATATGTATACATACACATGCATACATACACACAGGGATAAAGAAATATGATTTTGGTATTCTCATTGAGCATAAAGGAGATAAGGTAAGAAAGGTACAAGATTTAGGTAACTTGGATTATTAATTCAGGGCAAGTATGTTCACCTATATCTGTATCTCAAGAATGTATCTTTACACTTGGCAATGGTTAACCACTTCAACTAATATTTTTTTACATATTTGTCACCAAACATACAACGTTTTCCACAGTAGAAATGTTGTAGAATTACCTTCCAGTGTAGGGAAAAATGACATCTATTTTCTTATCACATCTGCTCTCATTCCCTCTCTCTACTCCAGCTTGTTGAAAAGTGCATGTGAAATCTGCGTAACACTCACCCCTGGAGATACGTCATGATTTTTCTGAGGACAAAGCAAACAACCTTATCCAAGTTCATAAAGTAATTATCATTCCAGGTTTTTAAGAAGTTTAAAACTCTGAAACCATAAAATAAATGTTAATAGAAAATAATAAGTGCATATAGTTGAATAAACTCCAGACACACTCAAATAAAAAGTTCCCCAGAACTCCATTCATGAAAACTTTTCCTTGTCTTCATCCTAAGGTTTAGAGCTTTCTCAAGGAGGCCCCTCAGTTGCAGTATTTCTCCTTTGTAATGATGGGTTATATCTCTTCTATAACTTTTCTTCTGTGTATTATTCTATTGATATTGGGGGTTAAAATTTACATATGAACAAGATAAGCACACTAGATCAATATATTACATTGTCTGACATAAATCAATACAACAAGGACCATTAACCCCAGTATAATACCAGAATTACACCCATTAAACATTTTTGAGGTTTTAAAAAAGAATGGATAAATTAAATTGAAATTAATGTATAAATTTTAAAAATACTTGAGCTTGCTCTTCATTTGTTTTTTATTTCATTTGTGAGGGAAGTCAATGTGTGTACAGAAAGCAGACTCATTTAATACTTCCTTATGTAGTATCTACAATGTGCCAGACACTGCCATATGTACTTAAAGTATAGCAAGGAATAAGATGGACATGTTTCCTGCTCTCAGGAATGTTATATTTCAGTGAAGGATGTAGACAATGAAAATAAGAGGCTAGTCAAGATCTTTTTGAGGAAAAAAGAAAGGTCAGTGTGGCTGGAGCATATGAGCAAAATTTAACATGGTAAGATTGTAAATGTGGACACATAAGATTACATGTGGCCCGATACTTAGGAAAAAATGTTGGATTTTATTCCCAATGGGAAGGCACTGGAGAGTTTTAAGTATAACTTAAAAAGCCGCTTGGTTTTTAAAAAACCCCTTGGTTGCTGTGTACAGAGTGGTTTTGAATAAGAAAGAGCAGAGGCAGAGAGACCACGCAGGCAGCTACTAGCAGTTGTCCAAGTGGGAGGTGATTAGAAGTGTTCTAGATTGCAAAGTCTTTTCACGTTTAAATATCACACACACAAAAAAGAACAAAGTAGATAGGGGAAATAATTATCTACTCCTTTGAATCATGGAAAAGTTATGGTATTGAAAGGTCAAAGTTAAGTCAGGATTCAAGCTTTTTTGCATCCAAATTTAGAAGATTATTCCCTCCATTTTATCCTCAGGAAAAGAATGGGAATAGTTGTATATAAGTAAAATCAAAGCTTGTTATATAGGTTGAACGCTATTGTATAGGCTTAATAAACTTTGAAACATTTTATGAATCGTAATATGTTATATGCAAAGCATTGTGTGACAAGGGTGAGGCTTCTATAATCACTGGGGGGTACACTTCCACTGAAAGTCTTCAGATTTACGCTACCCTGAGTGGATATGGGTCTCCGACGAGATCTAATCGAGTGATGCCATCTCGACCTCCCCTGCCGGTGGCACTGTCCCATTCCCCTCTGCCATCTAATATAGATGAGCATCTGCTCTCACTTCAACTCATATTCTGGCAAAAGAGAGTCATATCGTCCCTGTTCGCTGCTGCTCCTGATTCACAGTGGCGTTGTAAGGAGGAAAGAGTTTCAGTATAATGACTTATTTAACAACTAACGTTTTTTCCTGGATTTGGGGTGGGAATGGGAATTACTGTAAAAGGGAATGAAGGATGTTACTGGGATGATGAAAATGTTCTAAAATTGGATATGATGATGATTACACAACTTGATAAACTGACTAAAAATCATTGAATTGTATAATTAGTGGGTGAATTTATGGTATGTAAATTATACCTCAATAAAGTTGTTTTTTAAAAAAGAAACCTAACAGAAAGGTACCTCAATTTATCTGAACATTTGAGAATCAAATGAGAGGCAGAGATTTACAAATTGAGAATATTTTTTCAAAATTGAGAAAGTTTCTCTCAAAGCAGTTTAGTTTTTTAGAAGAAAAAAATGCTTTTAAACAAACATTAAACTACGTGTGAATAATTAAAGATTCGTGAATAGATATAAAGTATTTACTTCTGTTCCTGAAATTTTCAAATGTATCACTTCTCATTATTTACTTCAATGATAGAGCTTATGTTTTTAGATTAAAAAATTATTATTTTTGTATCTTAAAAATAGTGAATAAAAGTATTGGGTTCATTTAAATCCAGAAGTTCATTTTCTGCTTAAGCCTAATGTAACTCGCTCATTACCTGATTAAATATTGAAAGGCGTTTCTCGAAAGAAGGTAATAATAACAGTAATAAAGTGATCATTTTCAAAGCCTACTCCTACTTTGTGGCATGCTTCATGCTAATCATTTTACATAATGCTAATTTTAACCTTTACAACAACCTTATTAAGTTCCTTTATTGGAGTATTCCCATTTTAAGGCTAAAGAAATAGAAAGTCGGGGCTGGCCCCGTGGCCGAGTGGTTAAGTTTGCAGGCTCCGCTGCAGGCGGCCCAGTGTTTCGTTGGTTCGAATCCTGGGCGCGGACATGGCACTGCTCATCAGAGCACGCTGAGGCAGCGTCCCACATGCCACAACTAGAAGGACCCACAACGAAGAATATACAAAACAACTATGTACGGGGGGCTTTGAGGAGAAAAAGGAAAAAATAAAAAAATCTTTAAAAAAAAATCTATAAAAAAAAAAGAAATAGAAAGTCAAAGAATAGTGGTTCAAAAATAAGTTCTAAAATTCACACAATTAATTAAAGCTGAGACTTGAACCTAGTCATCATGCCCACACTTTATCCATTAAACTATACTGTTCTTTTTAGTAGGAAAGTGTAGGGGATATATTCTCTCACATCTACCTTATGGTCAATTACAGGTATATGACAGTCATACATCTCAGAAATTGCCTTAAAAGTAATGAATTCATATCTTTTCTCTAATTGGATTGCATCATTGTGAATTTTAGAAAACTTGAAGGTGAAACTGTTAAACTCCTGTTGCAAATCCTTCGGAGATAGTAAGAAATAGACATGGTGCTAAAAGATAGAGTGATCATGAATTTATTGTACAAACTAGGACTTTATTAATAATTTTTCTAGGACAAAAAGCATAAATGAAGACTATTTTGAACAAACTGGGACATATGATCATCTTTCCCAAAACTAGAGATATAAATATGCCACACAAGGAAAAGACTAATGATATTATGTCTCAAACTATAACCCAGGCAATTTTGACATAAAATGCCAGATAATAAATACAGAAAAGATTATTAACTAGATTATTAGTGAGGATAAACAAAAGTTCCCAAAGACCAAGTTGTGCAATTCCAACTGTACCTCAGATATCAGCTGAGGTCACACTGCTCCCTTAATGTAAAGATATATTTTGTACAATCCATAACTTTGTGGAAAATCTCAAGCATTCAACAAGTTTTTTGAGTATGCCAGAGTTTACACTATCTTGATCATCTCAGGATTCAGGTTTTTGACTCCAAACTTCTACCTACCAAGATCATTTTTCTTTCTTTACTTCTCAAAGTAATGCTTTATCTCCACACTGGAAGCCATGCAAATAGAGAACTCAACGTTTTTTCTTAGTTTTAACCAAAATAAGCTAACAAACACAAAAATCAAGCTTGCAAACACACACACACACACACACACACACTACTACTAGTTGTGTGTAGAGCAGACACTGAACGCAGGAGAGCAGAAAGGAATTTCCAGAAGGATATGAAGAAAAGAATTGGATAAGAATACCTGTCTAGACTGATTGTGCCCCTTATGGCTTGTAGAATCTTGGTCACATACTTGTAAAATGATGGTACCACCTCACATAGTTGTAATAAAGAATTAATGAGATAAGGCATGTTGCATTAGCACAATGACTGGCCACAAAGTAAAAGTCCAATAAGTATTAGTTATCAATATTATTGCATTGGAGTTAAGAAAGCAAACAGATTAAAACTTAATATCTATGCACAGAAATCCTTTGGCCTGTTTGCAATGACATTAGACCATCTCCTCTTTTCTCTATGTACCTACACTAATCAATCTCTTCTTCCCCTTCTCTGCACTAAGAGGAGAAAAAAAAAAATCTAATGCAAAGCAGTTCTATTTTCTTCAGCATCTACTGACAAACCAAATTCTGAAATTTTTCCTGCTCATTCTAAGATCTAACTAAAGCTTAGAATCATACAAATATTTGTGAGGACCCAATTAAGTGTGCAGACAGAACATCATCTCAGTCTGGCTATAGAGGAGGTAGAAAAGGATTTCTTTTTTCCAGTTACATAATCTCATTTCCTGTCTGAGCAAGATTCCTGGATTGATGTGAGCAAGATTCATGTTCACAGAAAGAGTTCAAAAGTCAGCTATTGCAATGCCTTATTCTATGATTGCACATGAAGAAGAAAAAGGTAACTAAATGATATTATGTTTTAGTAAATTCATTGCTGTTTGAGTCTATCTAAAGAACATAATGACAAAATTGATTTTTACCTAATAGTGGATTTTTGGATATTGAGCTGTTGGCTTTAAGCATATTTGAGAACTCAGACTACTTCAAGATTTGGATGAATATATCAACCAAAAGAATATACTAATAAGAATACATATTCAGATAGGTAAATGAATATATCTATAGATAAATTTATCTATTAAAAAGTTCACACAAGATACACACACACACATACACACATATGTTTTTTTTTCAGGTGATTCAAAGAACACATGAAACTCATGAGGGCTCATAAACTGCAACCGAAAGCCCTTGATCAAAAACAAATCAAGAAATGAACAATGAACTGCTTTGGTTCTGTCAATGTCATAGCAGATGCAGTACAGAAAACAGCCTGAGCCCAGTTTTTACATATTTGAGTATCAATACAACCAAGTAAATATTTGAAATGCAGAACAATGTTAACTTTCAGTCATTCATAAATATTGTCAACAGGATGTTCTAAGAGCCACCTAATGATCAGGCTAAAAGATACAGGAATGGACAATAGCTACCAAAGATCATTAATATACTGGTATTCTCAAACGAGGCCCAACACCTAGATATAAATTTGTCCTGTGAGGTTGGACCAAAACATACATGGGTGGTACCACAATATTATATAACAACACAACATAACTTTTGAGTCCACTGCACTTGCATTCAAACCCTAGCTCTGCCACTCGATAGCTATGAGAACTAAGCTAAACAGTTTAACCTCTCCCAGCTTCGGTGTACTAATCTGAAACACTGAGGTCACGACCTCTACAAGTCATAATGTTAAGATGAGCAAAAGAAATGACACATGTCAAAAAAAATCGTACTGTTGTCTGGTACTTAAGTTCTCAATAAACTACTGTTGTTTTTAAAAACAAGCATTTAAATTCCTAGGCCATTGTAAAACTATTGCAATGTACATTATTGTGATTACAAAATATAAATATATGTATAATGTATATTATTACACTTATAAAATGTTTTCCTTTGAGGAAAAATACTCAGTAATGTTCTGCTAAATCACTGAATTCAGACAGTTGTGGATTTAGGGCAAGGACTGGAAAAGCTTAGTCAAGACAGGGAAGAAGCGTTATTCAGAACAAATCTATGAGTCAAAACTAGATATGGGTAACCACATACAGCTCGAGGGTCAGGAAACACTAAGGGTCAGAAGCCAGACAGACTAAGGAAAAAATGATGTGCATGGATATCAGAAGGTAGGGGAAGAAGGTAGTTTCAGTGTTGGTTGAGAAAAAGCATTTTGAATAAGTTGACTAGGAGAAGGTGAAGCAAACAGAAGAATAGATTTGAAGTGACAATGACCAAAATGATCTTGATTACCAAACAATCCTTGCTTCAGTCAGAGAGTTCTTATATGCTTCCTGGTAAGGATTCATTCATCCCCAAGTATGTCCTGAAATAGAAGCGTAGATCTACAGTAAGTGACAGGACTGAGGACAAGGAAAGAGAGAGAACTGATGACAAGCCACACCAGCACAGGGGATGATGACTCATGCTGTGAAGGCAGCAAGCTCTTCTTTTAATAACTAGTGAGCATCTGGTAGCTTCTCTCTTGCCTTAAAATACTTCCTCAAAAAACTCTTCACTCCTAGAGGCATTTATTTCATTTACCTTCTTACTCTGTGGTCAGTTCAGAATATCAATGCTGACATAGTCATTCCATTTGTTGTTTTAATCAACGCTCAAAATGAATAGGACATATCTTTTGGATTTCAAAGTTGTGTGTGATAATACAAAGGAAGACATACATCCTAAATGTGACAAAATATTATACTTGATTCTATCAAAATATACCCTACTTGCTCTAGCACTTGGATAATTTTAATATATTGTGAAAATACAAAAGCATAAAAGAATGGATCAATGGAAAGCTAGTTAATATAGCTTTGAAATAGAATATTATTTTCATAGAAAGGAAAGTAATAAAGTATGTAATTCAGTTGACATTTTGTGTACATTGCCTTCCTCATTTTTTCTCTCACCACTATTTCACTAATTTCTTAGAGAACTCATTTATCCCATCTGTAGTGTACTATAGTGTAGATGCCCAGTCTTGAAATGAAGGAATAAAAAGGGCAGTAACTTGGAAGTCAGGAGAACTTCTTTCAACTTTCAACTTTGCCATTTGCCGATATATGACCACGGGAATTTCACTTAACCTCTATGCTTCTCAGTTCTTCACATACAAAATAAGGGAAAATCATTCCGTTGATATTTGAGATCCTTTATAGCTAAAAGAGAGAAAGAAGAAGGAGGAGGAGGAAGGGGAGAAGAAGAAGAAAGAAAAACTTGGTTAATATTGTCTCAATCATTTAATTGCCTATTTACTAAAGCATACTCTTAGTGCTATAATTTTTTAACCGCACTTTCCTTTTCTCCTAAAAGGAATCTTTGTTTTCTGATATATACAGCTACCTCTCTTTCCAAGTTTTCTTGTCTTAAAAATTATGACTGAGCTGGACATTCTGATTTAATGGCTGATAAAACTGAGCTTGAGATATAAAATAATTCACCAAAGGCAACAGGATTAAATCCCATCAGTGATAACATGTGTATGTATAACTAAATATTTTTTGTGTCAATAATCACCTTATCTAATTTTTTAGTAAAGATACTTAAAACACAGATGTAGTTCTACATATTTCAGTGTAATTTTAACACAGTCTATTTATTATGTTAAAGAAAGTACTTGGACAGCTAGCATTTGTTATAGCAGGATTTTCCCTGTAAAGTCAGAAGATTGAATGCAGGAAATAAATTATCAACCAGTTAGTGTGCATTTTTTTCCAAGTCATACTCATAACTTCCCTAGCTGTCATTTCATATAACCATACTTTACCTGTAAATTAAGCTCTCCTTTTATCAAACTCAGCTGGGGGTTATTATATCAGCTTTAATACCTCTCTAAAAATGGTACTAAATGTGGATTTATATCACAAATGGAAAATCTGAGAGTGAAGGACATTTTCCATGCGGCAGTCTCATAAAACTATCACTTTTAACAAACAACTTGAATTCAAGAGAAATTTGCAAAAATCTTTTAAGCACATTCATGGTCTTAGGAGGAAGTGCTAATATGGAGTCTGTCTGCTCTGCTGCAGCTGCTTGATTTATGAAAGCATAAACAACCCTGACTCATTCTAGGGAAGTCATAATTACCATATGGAGTGTTAAATGTACAGACACTTCGTAAGGACCAATGCAGTAGCTTAAATTATAGTCATTATGCTATCCTCACTCCCAAATCTTGCTTTAATGACTGCTGAGAGAAGAAAAAAAAGTCCCCTACTCAGTACCTTTCACAATCAACTCCATTGCATTTTGGAAATAAATATACCTGAAGACACTTTATAAAAGAGGTAAGCAAAGGCTGATCAGCAAGGTAAGACTTCACTGGCTACCTCCTTAAGTGTTCGACAATGGCATTCCCAGGATACCTCCTCTATGCTGTGTGTTAGGCTCCACAGTAGGTCTGTTGATATGAATATTGTATGGCCGGGCCCTTTAAGGTTCCACTGTGTAGTGGGAGAGGCAAACAACGAAACATTTGAAATACGTGTGATGTAACTGAAATATGTTTCAATGAAATTTTGATAAGTGCTGCGTTCCTAAGTCAATAGTTTTCTATACATATAATGAGCAAAAAAAGCTAGCAAGTAAACTTTACCTTACCTATATTCCAAAGAAGTATTTATTAGCATCATATCTTTCCATCAGCTGTCAAACTGGCTACAGGCATCTTAAAAGGCAATGACCCTTTAGTCAACATCTCCTCTCATCCAGACTCTAAATTGTGTGTGTTGGAGCACAGTATCTGAACAAATCTCAGAGAGTCTTGGCTGGTCCATTAAGGCACCCTAGAGCCAATGGGAACCAGTTTTTTAAAAATGCTAGAAAAAACTTATCCAGTGCTTAGTGTGTGCTAGGCGCCATTCTAAAGGCTGTAAATATGCCAACCCATTTAACCTTAAGAGAGTCTATGAGAGGCACTCTTATTCCTGTTTCGCAATTGGGTAAGCTGAGGCACGGAGAGCTTAAGCCAGTTGCCTAAAGTCACACATGATGGAGTCAGAATTCAGTCCAGAATCTGGACTCTCCGGTCTGCACTACTGTAATTCTCAAACAATAAAATGATATCAGAACTGAACTTTGAGAGGATATTATGGCATGGATGTATAATACGTATCTAAATAGGCACAAAACTGGCCAGAGGACTACTAATTAACTACAGCCACATTCCAAGAAAGTAATACATGTAAGAAAGGATATGAAAATGATTTCAAAAAGTTTGGTGACTAATTCGATATGGAGAACAGAGGAGAAATAATTGGAAAATTACTAAGGATTTGAGTTTTAGAAACTAGAAAGGTATCTTGAAAGAAATAGAGACAATTAAAGGGGAGTAAGAATGGAGGAAAGACAAAATCACATTCACATTTCCTATCACCAGGGAGAAGCTGTGTAGCAAGCTCATGTTATGTACACAAAGCACAATTAGCCACGCCATATAAATTTACCGTCTTTCTAGTTTCTGTTCCTTAGGTGTTTGGGCATATATTAGAAAAAAAATTTACAAGCATTTTCAGAGATATCCTATTCCTTTGGAACATTTTGCAATTGCATCTGTAAATATACACTTCACTGTAAGGAACTTTGCTGACACACAAAGTATTTAACATTCTTCAAGCTGAATGTTCAATGGGGAAAGGTCAACACGGCTTGTTGTCCTGTGCCATAATCCATCACATCCCTCTTTAGCTCCTCTGCACGAAGTCAATTGGTTTTGGCTGTTGGAAATTATAATAAGGCTAAACAAGAAGCAAGGCTAAGTGAATCTCAAAGGTGGAAAAACCAGCCACGGGGGCACAAAACCCTGTCCAGGTAGCCAGGTGGTCTGCAAATGCTTGCTAGCACTTTTTCTTCCAGTTGGCTTATAACATCTGTTTCCACAGTGAAAGGGTGTGAAGAAAATGACACAAGTGGTAAGCACTGACATATGCATAGGAAAGGAAGTGATTTATTTTATATTAAGATTGTTACTGTTGCAAAAATAAAAGCATAACCTGAATATGTCTCTGTAAGACTTGTATAATATGTGTGTATGTTTAAGAGAAAGATTGTATATTTTTATTAAATCATAACACAAAAATACAGGGCTCTGAAAATCTAATTAGCACAATGAATAAAAACAGGAGGCCTATAAAAAATTATTTTCTGAAATAAGGGTAAGATTCTACCAAGAGTTTAGAAATAAGAAGGGAGGGTGGGGGACCTAAGAAAGCATAAATTGCATTATTCATTGGCGTCAGCTAGAAATGTAAAGAATGAATCAATATTTACTAAGAAAAATCAAAAATATTTGAAAAGAAATACTTATTATAAATTATCAGCATATTAATTTAAGAACTCACTGATTAAATTAGGCAATAAAATATTTAACTATTGGGAATTCTGAAAGTGGCAGTATTTCTGATTGAAGTCAGTATCAATTATATTGGCCTTATAGAATGAACTTATGGAAAATAGGAAAAGACAGGTAAGCTCGGGTAAAGATTGATCTTTAGACCTAGAATGGACTCAAGGTGTCAACCAGTTTTAAGCCTCGTTTTTACAGATAAAAATTGCAAGCGCCGTAGAAATGAAGTGACTTTCCCAAGATCATACAGCTAGAAACATAGGAAGGAGGGTTGATTTGGGGGGTTTTTAACAACAGTAAATGGAGAACTTTCTAAAGAACTGCAATAAGAGGTGATAAAAGGGGTACAATATTGTCACAGTCCCAGAATGAAAGGGAACTGGGTGGAGAGCTAGGCATGGGGGCATGGAAGGCAATAATTCATTTGCAGTAGGAGTATAGAGAGTATACTGGGTCACAGAAGATAAGAAAGGACCAGTGAACAAAATGACAATAAATTATCAAAAAGCAAATGTGATAATGTTAGTAAATAATTTATTAAATTTCCTCTAATAAGAAATAATCTATTCTGAAATCTGGGGAAACACTGAATTCGTCAGGACAACTTAATTGAGTAGACACAAAGCAGACATCCAAATAGATAATTGCAGTTTTACTTCCCTTTCTGAATGAAAAAGACAACAATAAAAGATATTAAGTTGAGCGTTTGAAAGAAAACATCATTGGTAGATTATTCTTAAATGTCTGGAAAAAATATTGATCTGGCAGAGGTGGGAGAGAGACAAGGAGAAGGGAAAATTCTTTCTTTGTTTGAGGGTACTAATTCAAATTAGGAACGATTGAAATGAAGAGAAATAAGTAGTGTGTGCAAAAAAAGATACCAGAATGATTTCTTACGTAATTTTCAGTTACATGTATGGTGAAACATGGAGCAAAACTCTTATTGTTAAGTTTTATAAGATGGAACATTCTGGATTGCCACATTGATCTCCCCAGCCTCCTCCATGCTCCACAGCATCCTATGGCCATCTGTACTACAGTGTTCCTCCCTTTATGTATTTGACTCCCTGTCCCTGGGGGGACCACATCTCTGCTATCACGGTGCATAGCTCATAGTATGTCATAAAGTTAAATTATTAAACTTGCGTACCTTTTTTTGTCATGGGAAAAATACTATTACATAACACGTGTGATAACAATAGTTTTCACACACTTGTGACAAACAGGATGAGATATTGTCATACAGATACATTTGTGACAAATAGGATGAGATGACATTGTCACACAGGAAGATGCAAGCAAAAAAGGTTTTTCAAGGACTATCTTCAGAAATAATTTTTCCAGACCTATGCAAGTGCTTTCAAGGTAGGGAAAATAAATGAAAAGCAGATTTTTCTCCCTAACAAAATTGCCAGTGGGTAAGGCAAAGGTTCAGGAAAACAGGAGGTTTCTAATATATTAACCACCCATTCAATGTCTGGCAGCAATTAGGAAAATAAACAGGATCCTGAGTCGAATTAACAGCAGCAATTAAACTTTCCTGCAAACGCATTTATACCGATAACTTGTGGGGCAACATCTGGAATATTATTCACAAAAATGATGTCTGATATTCCTGATATTCTCAAAGAAAACAAACAAAAAAATGAAAAACAACAAATAGGTAGGAGATATGAGCTTTGTACCAAAAGAAAACCAGTCCTGACTTTTGCCACAATTTTAAACAAAAGTTAGATCAAATTTTTTAAATGTTTAAAAGGTGCAATTACCTTTTTAGTCTATTTTTGTAGGCAAAGAGCTATTTCTAAATATGAG